TGTCTTGGAAATGAGGGGTTGATTTGTTGTGTACTGTGCATTTTTGTTCCTAGATGGGGTTGCTATTTCACCGATAGACTTTATGATGAGGATATCTAGCTTGGACTATTTAGTTAGTATTTTATTTGGGCTTGCCCAAGCCTTTTATTTTGTTTTTGGGCTTGTATCATGTATTGGGCTAGGCCAAGCCCTTTTATGCTTTGTATTGTATAAAAGTATGCAGCCTTCTATACATGAGTGACAAATTTGATGGATGAATGAATTTTGAGTGTTGCAGAAGCGTTCTTCCTTTTCCACCGCCTTTTCTTCTCTTCTACTTCTCTCCTTCTTCTTCCCCTAGCTATCTTCTTACCCTATCCTGCTTCTAATTTCTTCAATCCAGTCTATATTACTTTATCTATTTGTTGTATTCTGAATGTGCATTTTGCGTCGCTGTGATTTTGCATTTCTCATTGAGCCTAATTTGGATTCAGTTTCAGTGTCTGCAACCTTTTTTTCCCTCTCTAATATACGTTTCTAGGTGGACATTTCTTACATTTCCCTGCCTGTGAAACGTTTCTAGGTGGACATTTCTTACATTTCCCTGCCTGTGAAATGGGTGCAGGTTGACAATGTAATTTCCACCCAGAGGAAGACACTTGGTTTGGCTCTTTCTATAATTTTAACTTTGAGATTGCCTCAAGTACTTGATAAACTCGATCAGATTCTAAGGTACTTCAAATTCGTTGATAATATCATGGGCTATTCTAGCAGCGGTGGTTTATTCTTTAATGTGATCTTTCTGTTTTTTGTTCTTTGTAGCGTATGCACAAGTGTGATATTGGGTGGAAGTGAGGACTTAACTGAAGAAGAATCAAGGTTTGATATATATCATTGTCCTTGTCTTATTATGATGATCACGTTGACAGATCCCATACTATTGTTTTCTGATTGAATTCAAATTTACTTGTGGACTACAGTAGTGATAACATGTACTCCAGCGGCTCACAAGTTCCTAGCAAAGAGTTGAGGAGGAGACAGGTATACTGCTTCTGTATTTCATGGAATCACGAATAATTGGTCTGATGATTTTTTTACTTATTTACTTGTTAAATATGCAGATCAAATTCTCTGACCCAATAAACCAGATTTCCTTGGAGAACTCACTGAAGGAAAATCTCCAAACATGTGCTGCTCTTCATGGGGAACAATTTAATGCTGCCATTTCTAGAATGCATCCTGCAGCATTTGGGCAATTAAAACAGGCACTAAAAATGCCATAGGCTAGAGTCGTGTACGATGGAGAGAGGAGTTATATTTATTTGCACATGAGCCAGTGAAAAGGGAAGGAATATGGGTAAGTTGCTCAATCCTAAAAAAGCACCTGCATTCCATTGAAGGGAATGAAATTTATAGGTGGTGGTTCTTATTTTTATCATCTATAAAAAGTTTTGTTAGAAAAATAAAAGTAATTCTGAAAATCACGTTTGGCAAAATAAGTAACACAAACGTAAATTTGACTTACTTTATAGCACAGCCGAACATGCTCAAAATCATTATAATCTTTCAATGGTAAAATCAGGTTATATGTGATTGTTTTTAAAATTTGAAAGAAGGCTCCACACTTTTGTCACAATCTCACTGTAAGCATGCAGGAGTGGGTGCAATAGCAAGTGGCCTCTAGCGTCGAAAGATAAAACCTAAGGTATAGGAGTCACACAGCAGTCTTGAATTTAGTTATTTGTAACCATGATAACAAGGTCTGTAGATTTTAGAATAGAAATGCAGTAATGCATGCAAAGAACTTAAAAAGCTATCCATTAGACCGGCATCATCTGAGTACTAATCTAAATATCTGGGTAAACGACTAACAAAAGACCAGTGTAATTAGAGTTTCCCGTTGACGTTAAGGCGCAAATCAAATGGGAAAAACCTTTATGAATAGTGTCTTGGCAAAAATAATCTCGTGTCTCGACTAGTCGTTAGAGTTCAACATGCTGTCCAAAGCTTAACATGCAAGGCTTTGGGCCTTGATATAATAAGTTGACATTTTATTCTGCCCTTAGTTATAATTCTGCTCAGGTTGGAACTATAGTTGGTGAGTTCTTAAACTGCTGTTGTGCTTACTGTCAGTGTGTGAACTGTCTGCATACACCCTATAGACATGTGGGTTTGCTTACAAATGCTTGTTCGCAAACAATTGAACTGACATGAGTTTCCTTTTTCATACAGCAGCTTCTTTGACTTGCGGCTGATGCTTCACACATTCTTTGATTTTCTTGAAACTCAATTGTTTTTGGCCGATCTTGATTTCATTTGTTGGGCAATATATTGTGGTTTTTTTCCCTTTATTTTTTAAAGATATTTTCCAGCACAACCAACATTGTAAATAGTTCAGCCCCTTCATGGCATAGTTTTTTAGGCAGAAGGGTGGTAGGTTTTGCTCGATGTTGGCGATCTTACCAATAAAGGAATGAGGTGTACAAATTTCGTTTTCTGTTGTTATACTAGGAAATTAGTGGTGGTTTGAGATTGAGAATAGCTTTTTTTGCCAAGTAATTTTGTGGACATGTAGAACATTTGTGACATGTTTAATGAGATGGATAGTACAATATTGAAGATATAAAAGAAAAAATCAGCCTTGTGACACGCCTAAACAATCTTTCTTAACACTATACCACTATTTACTATGCTACAAGTGAACACAGCTGGTTCTACAACAGCACTTTAATGTCAAATTTCCTATATTTATATTCTGGTAGATGGGGGAAAATTGTACAAAACGAAAACTAATTATGGCTTCTAAGAAAAGCTACTCTAGCTAGGTCTCATTATTCATTATGTTTTTTTTGTAAATTGCTGAATAACCAAAATGATTTTAATCAATATTCGCTCTTGAGCTAGTAGTTTTTCACTCGCACAAGCAAATATTTTCCTTGTTTTCAAGGAAAATATGGTCACGTGATTAAAAGTAGAAAAAAAAATTTCATGAAAAAAAATATCAGCCAAATAGTACGAAAGTAGGAATTTAATTGAAAAATTACATTTTTGTACGGAAAATAGAGACACTTAAATGCGCTAACTTTTCTCAAAAATGAATTTTTGTTTAAAATTGGGCGACTTCCCGTGTTATTTAGGAGGTTGGGCTTCCAATTGGATGCACTCAGATCTTTATAGTGAGATGGGTTATGAGAAGCCAATGTTTGGCCCATGTGGGGTTGAGAATTAATGCTAGTGTTTCAAGATTTGTTCAACTTTTATATTTAAAATTATTTTAAAAAAATATCGAGACTTCCTTTCACTGAGCAAGCTCCATCGCTCCTAATGCTAGGACAAGGCTCGCTACCATGGCTTTAGTAGTCAAGAATTCCTCTTTCTTTTTGTTGATGGTGCGTTGGAAGAGACGAAAGGAGCTAGTGAGCAATGACATCTGTGGGGAATAGGCTTGCTTCTTCCTAGCGATCGAGTGGTCCCACTGATGCGGAAAATATATGAGAGACACCCCCATCATGTTTAAAATTACCGATCCTTTATTTTGGGTGTTTTAAATAAAAAGACTAAATGAGAGACACCCCAATCATGTTTAAAAAATTACCCTAAGCTCCCTTATTTCTAATTTTGAATATCTACACATCCTTGATAACTTTTTGAGCCAAATGAGATTAATATACTTTAAATTCCCTTGTAAAGGAAAAGATGAAATCTGTTACAATCAGTTATATTTAAAATTGCTCAAAGTAAATTATAGAGCATGTTTGACATCGTTATTTATAAGTAATATTTTATATAGTACTTAATTTAAAGGAAAAAAATACGTATCGATTAGTATAATTAACTATCAAATGATCAAAAGGGATATTGCGATGATATTATACTGCCAAATCATAATGATTAATTTAACATTTTATTATATATCATTTAACAACAAATTGCGAAGGTGCATATCATTTCAATGAATTAACTCTTACTATTTTTCCGCTTACTTGAATAATAAAAAATTACATGTTTATATTTAACTTCTTGTTTTATTTATTACCGAATTCTTCATTAGGTTTAAATTTTCACTAGCATGCAATCTAGAATTCTGGTGTATTAATTTAAAGGGAACAAACATATTGCAAAAATTCTAGAAATTTCATTTTTTAGGTATATCAACATCATTTTAGATGATATACGACTCAAAAAATCATGTGATGCACAAAACTAGAACAAAGAAGATAATATGATTTTTTAAATGTGGGCGGCGTCTGGATAATATTACCATAAAACTCGGGAGATATGAGATATCTCTAAGATTCTCTCTTAAATAAAAGGGATGGATGTGGGAGAATAATAAGTAATGTCCACGTGGGTTGAGGTAGTGATAATGAGCGGAGGTGGTTGGAATGGGAGGAATATAGAGGCAAAGAGCAAGATAAACCAATGTAATAAAAGAGGTGGGTCTCACATTTCTCTCTTCGTTTCTATATTGTTTGGGTGCATAAATTAAGAATATTGGTTTGTTCTCACGTTTTTTAATAGTAAAAAAGTAGAATGATCTCCACGTCTTTCAATTTTGAACGAATCTAACTGAATCGATAGTACATTAGATATTAATCATTAGGCAATAAAATTCGTGAAACATTCAAAAAAAAAAAAAAAAAGACTCATCACTAGACAATAAGGAGATTTCATAAGAAGAAATCCAAATTGAAGATGAAGAAGAAACATAGACAAACAAAGAAGCGATAGCTTGATTTGAAAGATGGATTGTAGTATTAAAGAGGAACGCCACATGATTTGACTCTTGTCTGAGCCATCGCTGAACTTGAACGTGTACTATGAACTATCACCGAGGGCTGTTTACTGGAAACATCAAACGAGAACTGTCAGAGCTGTGTTGTCCAGAGAATTCCCCAGTGCTTGTGTAAGGCCCCATTTGAATCGAATACAAGTCATTTGAGGGGATTGGAGAAGTATAAAGATCTGATGCTTCACTTCGATTATTTATTAACCCAACGTTTTCTTCGTGCACAGACTGATTAGCCCATGGATGTTTAGTGAAGTTCCTTAAACCTTCAAGTTCCATTGCCACTTCTTTCATTGTAGGTCTATCTTCACCATCCAAGGACAAACATCTCTTGACAAGTTCAGCAATGGATTGGAGTTGCTCTAAAGTTCCTTCCCTCAAAACCCGAGGCTCAAGAATAGGAAACAAACGATTTTCTTTCATGGACATGATGAAATATGTCGCAAGATTTTTTTCTTCTTGGCGTCTCTGCATATCGAGGGGTTTTTTCCCTGTCAAAAGTTCTGCAAGAACCACCCCAAAGCTGTAAACATCGCTTTTTTCTGTCAGTTGACTCGTGTGGAAGTACTCGGGATCAAGATATCCGAGGGTCCCTTGGATTAACGTTGTCACTTCAGTTTGATCCAAGGTGATTAATCTCGACGCTCCAAAATCTGAAATTTTTGCAGTGTAATGCTCGTCTAATAATATGTTGGCAGACTTGACATCTCTGTGAATTACAGGCAGAGAGGCTGCTGAATGAAGATACGCAAGTGCACCAGCAGCTTCTGAGGCTACTCTCAGACGATTTTCCAATGATAACCAAGTCATTGCACAATTACTACTGTGCTGGAAAAGAGTTCCATTCGAAACGTACTCATAAACTAACAATGGAACTTCTGATTCCAAACAACATCCCAATAACTTCACCACATTCCGATGGTTAACTTGTGTAAGAATAACCATTTCATTAACGAATTGCTCAATCTGGCTCTGATCCGTTACTCGGGACTTTTTAATGGCCACTACACGTTTATCAGGTAGAATTCCTTTGTAGACAATACCATAACCACCTCCTCCTAGAATTTGATCATCTGCGTAGTTGTTCGTAGCTTTTTCAAGCTCCTCTGCTGTAAATATTTTCGTCCTTGACGCCATGTTGCCTTCAATTGAAGAGATCTGTTGTTCAAACAACAAACCACCATTTTGCTGAAAGAATTTCTCCCTCAGTTTTATGAGTTTCCTTTTGCTGATGATAATATATAGCCAAATTATTGCAATAACTAATGTCAAGAACCCAAATACGATACCTGAACATTGAATTTGTAAGAAAAGATTGGTATTATAAATTAAATAAAAGAATATTTGAATCTGTATTTTTGTTTTGGTGTGCTAAACAATTTCAAGAAATCATAAGAAGTACCTAAGGAATACTTGATTACAGGAAATTTGGAGTTATGAGCAATGCAACCACGTCCATCTTTTTTGCCATCCCCATAGTAGCCGTGTGGACAAGAACAGTTAAAACCTCCAGGTGTATTAATGCATATCTTTTCACATGTGTTGCTGTTTTCTGCGCACTCATCAATGTCTACCAAATAATGGGAAAAGTGAAAACAAAAGAAATGTCAATCACAAGATAAAAGTCACTTACTTAACAGTTGATATACATTTTTTGTTCAAGAGAACTTAACTTTTTGTACAGTAATTCAATATGCGTCTATGGTAATTAAAAACAAACCTTTGCAGCCGGGACTGAGATAAGGATTTCCTCGGAAGCCTTCATTACACTTGCAACGATAACCTCCAAGACCGTTATTTGTATCAACACAGAGACTATTCTCTTTACAAGCATAGTCCAAGGAAACTTGAGCTTCGTTACAAGTTATATTATCGAGTGCCCATTCTAGAACAATGGGGACAGTCTCCTGGATCCTTTCCGTGAAATTGGTGTCCAAAAAATCTTCCACACCACGGAAGGTGAATCTCTCCTGCTCACCCAGAAATGCATAGCCGCAGGGATTGAATGATGCGATGCCTGTGTGATTATTAAAACTACTCACTCTGCTATTGTAGTACTTCAAACTCTTTGGCACCGGTGTCTGGCAGCAACCAATGCCGGAACAATATCCGTCCACTACAGTTTCGGCGCTGTAACACTGAGAACGACATCCAGTAGTGAAATTCTCGCTGCCGCGGCCTCCCGTCATGTAAGCGTAGTCATCGCACCCAATCATGGTGAATTTGTTGGATTCCGAGAAACTGAACGGTGTCACTGTAATATCTGTCCATGCAGTGTATCCGTCCACGATGTCACCGGATTCATCATAGCACTTTTTCGCCACTACATTTGCAACACGCATTTGATTATCAGAAATATTGTAAATTTGGATATTACCCCGTGCAATGAACGCCTGGGGAGGATCGTAGGCGGTGCTGCAGTTGACTTCAAACCACCTGCCGATGGCACAGCCGCTTCCGATGCCGATGCCGAATGGATATGGAACTGTCAGATTTCCGCATTGGCGTGGGCAGTTTGGCTGGGTGATGTTGTCTCCTTCGGTAATGGTGGTGTTTGAGGCGGATGAAGAATTTGTGTCGACTGTAGCTGATATAATCCAAAAGAAACAAATATAGGTAGTCCACAACAGAAATTTCTTCTGCATGTTTACGAGTTGCTCCATTAATGGAAGCAAATAAAGGATAAATAAATATATATACTGAATCTGTTATGGTCTTCTCAAGTCTACTGAGAAGTTTGCGTAATATTTACTCATTGACTCCTGGAGTGAAGACCACTCGAGCTTGCAAAAGATATTTATCCTCAATTAAGATTGGTGTACAGATTTTATTTTATTTTATTTTATTTTTATTTATTATT